TACAGAGGCTTTGGATTTCCATTCATTGTTGTAGATTTTTTCCCTCCCAAGGCTCCCCCCCACCAGACATTACCCTCTTGGAAAAGTAAAAGAAAAGATTCTTTCATTATTTTACAAACCCTCCCCCAGGTCCACTCCATCATGTAGCCATCGCTCTAGACTCCTGTCATGACCGAAATACCTAATCACATATCTCTTTTAAACAGTTTTCTCCCTTCTCTGTTTCAGAGCAGCATACATTATTCAACCATGGCCATTAATGGTTCCTGAACTTTTCTGCCACCCTTAACAGAATCTCAGTGTTCCCTGGGCACTGTGTTCCAAAACCATTTTCATAAAATCTCAAGATCTGAATTGTCACTTCTTTGCCTCCCTCCTTTTCTTTAGCCACAAGCCATCATTGTATGCCCTACTGGTCCCTTGGAGACTGGGTTCCCCAACTTTCCTCCCAAGAATGTTATTGAAGCCTGTGGAGCTTCCTCTGTCTCCAGACCTCAGAGTCAGGTCTTTGGAGTCATCTCTTCCCTGTTGGGTGACCCTTGCTTCCCAAGCTCCAACTAGTTGTCTCAGAGTTGGACAGATGCGAAGGAATCTTAGCACTCACTTCTCCTTGTTCCCTTTAGCTTGCGTACCTCCGGCTAATGAGTGCAGCATGTCCAAAGGTAGCTTCTGCCACCATCAAATAGATCTGATCATAAGAAAGCTCTCCTTAAACTGAGCCAAAAGTTATCACTTTGGTTTCTTGATTGATGCTTTGTCTTTTAGAGCTTTGCAGAAACTTTACGTTTCTTCACGTCGTAGTCAACTTGATAACATATAACAACTATGCTAGTCTGTGATAGTCTGTAAACTTCTAGCTTCCAAGTCTTAACAGCACTTAAAATACTCGGGAACAGCGATCCTGCACCACCTGGCAGGTCCATTGCTCCACCTCATAATGAATCTGTACACAACAGAACAGAATGCTGCCTGGTCCCTCACCCTCTTCGTGATCACTGATAGGCTGTAGTTCATTATTGTAGCTACTGTGTATTTTGAGTGCCATTAAATCTAGGATGCTCAGTCCCAACACTGCATTGGACAGTTTTCTGTCAGGATACCTAAGGTTTTAATAGGTTGATTTTTAGAAGTAGGCCATCATACCTTGGTTCCTGGGAGCTTTGGTGGTCTATTGGGTAAGGATTTGTGCTACAAAGTCAAAGACAGGCAGTTCAAATCCACTAAGTGCTTCATGGGAGTAAAATGGGTAGTCTCTTGCTGTGTGATGTATAGCCTTTGAAAACCTACTGAGAGGTTGGCTCTGAGTCCGTTCTCATAAGATGGGAGGTTTTCTTTGGTTTTTTTTTTTTCATTATTCCTTGTCTGTCTTCCTTCCTCTCTTTCTCTGACTCTCCAACTTCTCAGTGTGATGTCTTCTCCCAAGGACTAGCCCCCCTGGCCCACCTCCCTCTGCTCTGACACATGTCTAAAGTATGAGAGTCAAAGTTTCACCATCCTTGCGTCTAGGGAGCAAGCTGGTCAAACTTCCTCCAAGACAGACTTGTTCTTACTTTCGGTCGTCCATGTGATATTTAATACTCATCTAAGAAGACCTTCAACAAAATAGATCGATACAGTGATTGTAACAATGCACTAGAAGATGTGGGAGCTCCTGAGGATGGTGCAGGATAGGGCAAGGTTCAGCTGTCGTTCACAGGCTTGCCATGAATCAGTCAGCTTGATGGAATATAACAACAACAGCTACTGTAACAACAATTGCAGCCTGTATTAGTCTGGAAGCATCACTGAAACCTCTTCTCCATGAGAGATCTCGCTGGTATTTGTAGTACTGGTAGCAGATCATCCAGCATCGTAGTCACACACAGCCATCACAGCACTGAGACGAATTGCCAGATGGGTGGTAGCTTCTTTTCTAGAGGAAATAGATTTTTAAAAAATATCAAATACTTTCTAATATGAAAGTCTTTAGGCCTCTGTTCTTCGGCTCCCTCCCTCCCATGTGATCACAGGTCTCTGGAGCCTGGTACAGCCCTTGGTCTTATGGCTCCTCCACATGAACCTGGTGGATGAATAAATGAATCCATGCCACCTCCCTTTGAATTTATATCAGTTTGTATTTTCCCCTTTTAGCCTATATCTGTGCTTTGCCAAGAAGAAAGGAGTTACCCTTAAATGAAACCCTGGGACCCTCTTTGGTAATGGCCCCTTCCCTTTCCAGAGTCTTCAGCATAGAAACAAGCAGCTGGAGAAATCTCTAGCTGCCCCACGACCTCTGTGACTTATGTCCCAGCACTGTATTAATGAGGTACAAGGTCCCAACCCAGCACCCCAGGCGGAGGCTGGGTTCGAGTTCTGTGAACATAAGGACATGTCTAGATGAGCGCCTGGCACCTGACTCCTGGCTGATGTCTGCTTCCCTATCTGTGCTCTGGGCTTTGGCCTGCAGTCTCATCCCTTTCCCATCTCCACAAGATCTGCTTAACCTCACCTTCCATCAGTGGGTCCTCTGGCTGATATGCCTGGGCTCTTGTTGCCTGTCAGTTCTGGGATTCCTCTCAGCATCTGGATGTCTGATCACAGACTCTAACTGATGAATTCATTCTTTTGTTCATAGAACAAAGAAACTTCTTGAACTTGAGTCAGAATGGAGGTGTCAGTCTCTCTTATCCCTATTTGAAGCTCCATTGATAAAAAAGGCCTCTCTGCTGGCTGGGTTCTCAGAGAACAGTTGTCTTATTCTAAAGTTTAAAAATGTGGGGAGAAAAGAGAAGAGTGAGCAGGCATTAGGAGATGTTTCACAGCCTGAGGTGTCCAGGAGGCTCTTGGAAAGCTTCCTTTCACCTGTGTGGCTTGTAGAAAGAGGACTCTAGATCTCTGAGCAGAGACTTTGGGCCTGCCTAGTTCACTACTATCTCTTCAACAGCTAGCATGCTGCCTGACGCCTTTCAGTAACATTGAATGACATGACAATGAGCTCTGGAGAGTGAATAAACGAACAAGAAGAGAGTCGTTTCCAGCAGCCTTTTCTGGGGGCCATGTACCTTACTTTGTGCAAGTTCTAGAGTCAGAAATCTCAGCTTAGCACTCTGACATCAAAGCTTACTAGCTCTATGAGGTCGGGTAAGTTTCTTAACATCTTTGAGTAGTTTTCTTTATATATATATATGCATTAGATTTTATATATATTTATATGCATTATATATATGCATTATATTATACACACACACATTAGACTTTATATATAATCCAATGCAAGATAATGAATGAACTTTCTGAGGTTGCTTTCAGGGTTATGTTGGTGAATGTGCTAACAGCTCAGAGTCAGGCAAATACAGGGCCTCAGCATGGCATCTGGGGACTCAAGGAACATTTGAACAGCTCTGTGTTGACTCGAATTCTTCATCCAAAACATGCCTCCTAATTCTCTATAGTCATAGAAAGTCTCTGTGATGGATCCTCGGCTTAGCCAAATAGCAGAGGCATCAGGCTCCATACACCATTGGGGAGGAGGTGCTCTGACCCTCCTCCAGGGCACAACATTGGGCCCAAAGTGGAGTCAGCTGAGTGAAGAAGGAGCCCTCTGACTCCTCAGGAGGATGGCACTTGAAATAATGGTCTCGTAGCTCTAGTTTAATGTTAGAGCACAGCCAAGGTAACCTTTAGAGCTATAACCCTAGAGCCCATAGTTCTGGGTTTCTGACACAGGTACAGCGAGGGTAGAGTGCAGTGACACTATTTTAAAATCCAACCAGAAAAAAAATCCAACCAGATGGCATAGCAGACAATTTTAGTCCTCAAGCTGTTGTTCGTTTTAGGTTTATTTATACCTCAGAAAAAGAAATACTTTATTTTGGACATAAATGGGCTTGAGACTTCTTTCATATAAACTCCTTCTCTCATTTCAACCCTTCCACTTGGAAAGCAAGGATCTGAGAGGAAAGATACCTTGGAGAAAGGACCCTGGATCTCGAGTGCAGGCAAACCTTATCTCTTTCTAGTATTTCTCATTGTGTAGCATGTATAAATGAGCATTTGCTTTGCTGGAGGTGGGTTGTTGTGGTCCACATGATCGTTAATAAGATCTCTTCCAGCACAGTTGTTCTATAAACCTGAAATTCTGACTCTAAACTCTCAAAAGGAAATAAAATAAAGAATATAATAATCATTAGAATAGCAAGTAGTTGGATGGTGGAGAGCAAAGAGTACGCATCAAATCAGATATCAGTCTTAGGATCAAATTTATTATGCATTTTACCTTCACCAGGGAGAAGGTGGCAAGGAAGCTGGAAAGAAGACCAGCCTGAATTACAGACACGTAATCACATCTCCAAAGGTATACAAGGTGGAGAAATAAGGCCTCAACGTAAACTAAGCATGGAGTCCCCAAATCAGCAAATACTTCATGGGATACCAACTTGTGTTTTCTTATAGACAGCATATATTTTACATATTTTTGTTTTCTATTTTAAAAACACAACCAGAATTCCATTGTCCATTTATTCACTCTTCTTTTTAGGATGCAGAGTTATACAACTTTTCACTTTGGCAATGCCACTGACTGTTTCTTCCAAACAACCATGGCAACGGTGGTGATAAGGTGGTAGGTGCAAAGTCCATTGAAATTTGGTTGGTTTTGAGTCTAACACTGAAAGATAGATGACTAAATGCGTACTTGGCTGGTACACACCCAGAGCTGAGGGAATGTTTGACCCCAGCGAGCTATGTTAGGCTTCTGTGGTCTCCCTTGGCAAGGACAACATTCTGACATTTGAGACCTTCCATCAGACTGGGAGAACAGTATTTATTCACACAGGCTGATGAAATGTAGAGAGAACTATTTTCAGAGATGTGAATTAAGTCCTGGAATAGTGAGGAAGCCAAGAGGCAAGAAGCTACATTGCATTCAGAAGTAACTGCAGGAGAACTTCACCTTAGCATGGATGGGAGTTGGGTTTTCATCTGTTGGCCATCTTCTTGACCTTCAATTGCCCAATGAGCTGCTACTTGGCTTTGCCATGACACTTCTCTTGGGATTTCTGTGGGCAAACTTCCACACATTTTGTCTGGCATGGCTCTGGGCATGGATCCACACTCTGAGGTGTGCATTGGTCTTGGCACGGAGGTAGGCATGGTTCTTGCCCTTGCTGGGGGCATGGTTCTTGGCTTGACTCCTGACACTGAGGAAGCACTGTCTCCTGAGCTTGTGCTGGGCACTTCTCCTGGCAGGGGTCCTGGACTTGGGGGAGGCAGACCTCCTCAGCCTTGGCCTGGCACTGCTCTTTCGTCTTTTGAAGACATGGAGGAGGCGCACAGGGCTGCTTGCACTGCTGCTCATTAAACGACATCTTCAGGTGGTTTTCAGAACCTGAAACAAACACAAGATTTAAAATCATCTGATTTAAAAGTATCTGAGTGGGGGGAACATGATTTTTTTTTTAAGTATCTGGTTAGGATCTGGGCTATGAAGAGGAGAGAGTGGGAACTTTTGTAGCCCTACCCCAGCATCTAGGTAGATCTTTTTCTCATAGCTTCTGTCTGGATGGCCGTAGCCTCAAACCCTCATCCCAATACATTTCTTTTTCTTCTTTCTCCATTGCTTAATTAATTTGAAAATTAAAAAAAATCGGATCCTAGATACTAAATATAACTAACTGGGTGGTTTGAGAAGTCCAAGAAGTGGTAAATCACTTAAAAAAATCATTAGAAAGTAGAGCCCAGAGAAGTGAGAGGACAGAAGCTTCCAGGAGAAGCAGCCAGAGGGAGAGGGTAGTAATGCCCACTTACCTGATCTTCAACAAGACTCAGCAAAGGATGGAGGCTGGGGATCCCAGTAAGGTGGGGACTTTTATACAGTGTTTGGCCCAGCCTCTTGCAGGGCTGACTGGCCACGTGGGCTCCGGTCTTAATTGTAGAGTCAACCATAACGAGCTTCCTCTGAAATTGCCGATGGTTTGAGTCACTGCTTGGGATGCCTGTTAATCAGACTCCATTTTCCCCTCTGAGTTCTCATCAGACCTCAACAGGGAGGGGCCCCACTCAGATCTCTGTCATCAGAGGCAGCAGGAAAAGAATGTTCATAAAAACGTTATCTCAGTTTGTTCAACCCGGCTTAGGGTTCCTTGTCTTCCCAAACTTGTTCAGGATGTGGGGAAAGATTAGATCCATCTTGCTCATCTAGTTTTCCTCAATGGGAAGTCCTACTGCCTGAGGCCTGGAGTCTGTTGTGGTGAAGAGCATCCATGACTTGTTTCAGATATTTCCATTTGGCTGGTGGTATGGTGAATAAAGCATTGCCTGCTAGGTGAGAGGTCAGCTGTTCAAATTTGACAACAGGAGAAATATGAGGTAATCTGTTTCCTTAAAGACTTACAACCTTGGAAATTTCGTGGAGCAGTTCTACTATGTCTTAAATGGTTACCATGAATTGGAATGGACTCAAGGAGAGAGAGTTTAGGTTTCTTTTGGGATTTTTTTTGTTGTTACTGTCATCATTGTTTTGTTTGTGCTTGAGTAGCCTGCAAAGTCTCAAAGAAGATGACTTGCACTGTGTTTTGAAGCAAACAAAGGTCGTATAATCCTCTGGAGAGAAGAGGGTTTACACCCTGCTGCATGGGATTGTGGGGGGAAGTGGGAAACTGGGGTCATTTGCTGACCTTTGCTTGTGGGGTGGAGTATAGAGGAAGAAATATGAGGCAGAAGGCAAGCCATATTCTAAATCTGTATTTATGACATTCTCCTAAAAGTGGAGTTACTCAGGGAGTTTTCACAGTGACCAAAAAGACAGGGTAGAACAAGTTTAGTCTGTCTCCTTGCCTTCTGGAAAAAAAATAAAAAATCTTTTCTTAGAACCTAGTTCAATAAAAGCGAGGGGGATAAGGAGGAAAGTTTAAAAAAAAATATATCCGGTTTCCAAGTCTGTTTGGGCTGACTCTTTTGCCTGATATATTCTCCTTTTCTTTGTGTTGAAATCTTAAGCATTCTTCAAAGCACCACTCAAGACTATTGCCTTCGAAGAGCCTTTCCTCAGTGCTCTAAACCAAAAATGGATTCACCTCCTTATGAACTCCTGTAAAATCTTTTGTGTGTGTTATTTATATGATATCTACTGTTGCTACTAGGTATTCCAGTTATTTATGTGGAAAATATTATTGCTTTTCTGGATTGTAAATGCCTCCAGAGTAGGGGGAGGGTTGGAATGTACCACATGCATAGCAATTGGAGGACAAATGTTTCTTGATAATATGTATGCATTAATTAAAGAATGGAGAGGATAAATGTGGAAGAATACTTGGCACAGAGGAGAATCTCATTAAATTGAAATTGAGAAAAAAATTAATATTTTTGGCCTTGTGTTTGGTAGTTAAGTTGACCAAATTCTTGGGACTTTAGAGATAATGAATGATGGTCTACTTAACTTGAAGAAGGAGATTTAGTTCATGCTGCAGAGAGTTATTTGTCTTAAGTCAGAAATGCCTCAGATTTTTTGTAGTTTTGATTGTATGACCCCTAGAATATTTTAAAAGTGAGCCTGGGAGAAATAAGGTGACATCTTTTATCTTCTAAGATATATGTTGAGAAGTTTGAGGTAGCTAGAATGGGGTCCTTTGGTGTACTGGCAAGAGAGAGATATCAGAGTAAGAGAGAGGAAAAGACTGGACTGAGGAAGTTGCTGATTTTTCTGTGAGAGATTTGGTCTTCTGGAGGATGAGATGGTAGTAGACACTGTAGGGGTGAAAGGGAGGGAATGGGATATTCATTGGGTCTGAAGCAATAGGGTCATTTGGAGAATCTGAGAACTAGATCATCAGATATAAAAAAATCTCTTTTGGTTTTTCTTTATTCTTTTCCTCTCCCCACTCCCCTTACTCCCTTTTAGCCATTGTCTCATAATTTCCATAATTTCTGTGGCATTTTGTCCAAGATACAAAACAATACTTCTGCATTCTGCTCTACTCATTGTCATCAAGTCAGTCCCCACTAATGGCTTATTCTCCTTCAGGTTTTTGAGGTTGTAAATCACAAGGAGGAGACTGCCCAATTTCCCCCCTCAAAGTTGTTGTTAGATTTGACCACCAGCAAAGTGTGGTCTATGGGTTAACAGTGCAAATCTGTAAGGACTATGCCAGAGAAGACAGGGCATTCTCCATTATTGAATTTATGAATTCATTTCCCCCCAGTCATTCATGGCCTTACTTTCAAGGGGCTTACAGTCTTGTGAATAAGTTGGAAAAAAGATAGCTGTAACCCCTTATCTGACTCCTTAGAAGAAGGCATCTTCTTCAGTCTGTGTGCAAAGGATACAATCAGGGAAGGTTTATGGTGGGGATAGGAGATGCCTGTCTTATGTCTTTCTGGAAGGTAGCACTTACCTAGCAAGAAAGGTGAGTGAGGGCATTCTCTAGGCAGCCTACAAGAAGGAACTACTATTGATACTGTTGAAGGAGATGAATAACAAGTGAGATATTCAGCGAATTGGAGGCAGATGCAGGGAAGAGATAAGTAGTGGGGGGGGGCAGAGTGAAAATGTTTTTGAATGAGATTTCAAGAAGTCTTCTACAAAAACAGATTGTGTGAGGTTATCTTGCTTATAATTGGGGCCATGAGTCAAAGAATATGGACAACCTCCAGAAACTGAAAAGACAAAAAAAACCTCCCAAAAACAAAAATTAAAAAAAAAAAATCCACCCCAAACCACCAAAAGCCACTTTCTGCCATAAAAGGACATAGCTTTTGAAAGTCAAAATCAAGATATCAAGGACTGAATAGAAGATTCCGAAAGGCAGAGCGGGAAGACAAAGAAAAGTATTACAATGAAATGTGCAAGGAGCTGGAGTCAGAAAATCAAAAGGGCTGAACTCATTCAGCGTTTCTTAAGCTCAAGGAACTGAAGAACAAATTCAAACCTTGAGTTGCAATACTTAAGGATGCTTTGGGCACAATATTAAATGATCCAGGAAGTATTAAAAGAAAATGGAAAGAGTATACAGAGTCATTGTATCAAAAGAAATTGGCAAACACAGAAGAATTTCATGAAACAACCTATGAGCAAGAGCCTTTGTTGATGAAGGAAGAAGTTCAAGCTGCTTTGAAAAAATTGGCAAAAAATAAGGTCCCAAGAATTGATGGCATACCAATTGACATATTTCAACTAACATAGGCTGCCCTAGATATGCTCACCAAGTTGTGCCAAGAAATCTGGAGGACAACCACTTGGCCAACTGACTGGAAGAGATCTATATTTGTTTCCCTTCCTAAGAAAGGTGACAGAACAGGGTGTGGAAATTATCAAACAATATCATTAATATCATATGCAAGCAAGATTCTGCTGAAGATTATCCAAAAACGACTGTAACAGCACAACAACAGAGAACTGTCAGAAGTGCAGGCTGGGTTTAGAAGGTGCCCTGGTACTAGGGATATTGTAGCTGGTGTTAGATGGATCTTGTCTGAAAGCAGGGAATACCAAAGGAATGTTTATTTGTATTTCATTGATTATGCAAAGGCATTTGACTGTGTGGATCACAACAAACTGTGGTTAACTCTGAGAAGAATGGGAACCCCAGAACACTTGATCACGATAATGCAAAACCTTTACTTGGACCAGGAAGTAGTTGTCAGAACAGAACATGGAAACACTGAATAGTTCAAAATTGGGAAGGGTGTACACCAGGGATGTGTCATATCTCCACATATTTTTAATCTATACGCAGAACAGATTATCTGGGAGGCTTGGCTCTATGAGGGGGATTGGAGGTAGATTAATCAATAATTTGTGTTATGCAGATGATACAACTCTGCTTGCTTAAACTAAGGAAGACCTGAAGAGCTAGCTGCAGAAGGTCAAGGACTGCAGCCTTCAATATGGACTGAAGCTCAATATCAAGAAAACAAAGATTTTCACCACTGGGCAAATTGGCAGCATCATGATAGATGGTGAAGAGACTGAGATTGTTAGCAGCTTTAGTTTGCTTGGCTCCACAATCAAAATTATTGTAACCAGCACCCGGGAAATTATAAGATGTATTGCGATAGAAAAGTCTTCTGTTAGGGACCTCTCCAAAGGACTGAAGAGCAACAATATCAGTCTGGAGACTAAGGTGCATCTGATACAGGCCATAGTCTTTGCAATCACTTGCAATGCATCAGAGAGCTGGAAAATGACTAGGGATGATAGAAGGGGAATTGATGCTTTTGAGCTATGGTGTTGGAGAAGAGTATTGAATATACCATGGACTGCTAAGAGAACGAACAGGTTCATCCTAGAGAGGGTTAAACCAGGCTGCTTCTTGGAGGCAAAGATTCTGAAGCCTGGTCTGACATACTATGGACATGTTGCAAGGAGGGA